GTGAAATATATAGACTGATTTAATCCGAGGTATATCCAACTTTGTTAACTCACCAGAATTATCCTTTCTTCCTGTTATTGTCTACGTATAATCACGGTGGTCAACTACCAGAAATGAATAATAATTAAAGGCAAATACTAAACCTTAACCCTGTATTTAATTATGAGAAAAGAAATAAGTGAGAAATAGAAAAGAGAAAAATAATAGAGTAGTAATTAATAAGAAATAGAATATAAATAAGATTGTTTAGTTTAAGACAATAAATAATAAATAAAAGAGAAATAATATTATAAAGTTCTTTGGTTTAAATGGATAAACAGAAAAGAAATTATGATGAATAATAAAATTATAATATTATTTTTCTATTAAATTTTTACACATTTTATATTATAAATATATATTTCATTAAAACATAATATATGCTTTATTCGAGTAAAATATATGTTTATTTGAATAAATAACTTTCAGATGTTATTTTATTTGAATAAATATAAATTGAATAAAGATATTTTTTATATTTAATAAAATTACAATATATATCATTCCTCTCTATTTGCTATAAAATTATTTTTTATTTAATTAAATAAATATTTTTAAAAAGTTATTTTATTTGAATAAACAACACATTTCTAGTTGAAGAATGAAAGTATTTAACAATAGATATAAAGAAATGAAAAGAGGAGAGAAATAAATAAATAGGTTAATAAATAAATAGAGTAAAAAAAAATACAAAATAATTTTTTTAAAAATGAATTGTTATTGATTATTTTTTGAAATATTATAAATAAAAATTATATAATTAAATAAATAATATTTTTGAAATAAAAATAATTAATTAAAAATAAAAGTAATTATATAATTATAAAAAGTTTCATTCGAAAACTTCATATTCGAATAAAAAGCTTTCGTATTCAAATAATTAAAGATTTTACTATTCGAATAAAAACTTTTATTATGTGATTAAAAATTTTGATTATTCGAATAAATTATACAATGACACACATTTCTCTTTTTTATTTCTTCTCACTTCTGCAAAGAAACTTTACAGACATGGTATTTATGTCTGTTAATTTCTCATCTGACGAAATTCTTACTTAATTACCAAGCGAACAAATTTATTTATTTATATTAGTTTTTTCTTCTCTTTCGTTGCTATTTCATCGATACCAAACACAACATATAAAACATTTGTTGAGTTTTTTTAAATTAAGTAAAAAATGAAAATGTGAATTTATATATTATATACTTTACTATTACTATTATTATTATTAAGAGTAAATAAAGTAAACTAATTTAGAAACCTTATAATCGTAGGGTCTGGAGTAGGGATGGTCAAAATACCCGCACTCGCGAGTATCTGTGGATAAAATCCGCTACGAATAATAAATAAATATGCTAATTGGGTACCCGCGAATAATGGAGACGGATAATTTTTTATCCGTTTATAAATGGGGTAGGGACGAGTATGATGATATCCATACCTGCGGGTACCCGTTTAATATTATTTCTTAAATATCCTAATTATCCTTATACCACATAACCCTAAAACTACACTCTCTCATCTTATTTTCTTACAAAAGTATGTGTTAAACATGTTATAAAATTATGTTGGATATAATTTGATTAATTTTCTAGCTTTGATTGGACCAATAAGATTTATGTAGTTTAAGTTGTTTACTTTCATTTAGAATTATGAGATTGAATTATTGTAGCTTTGTGATGAGACTTTAACTTACTTGTGAGATTGATATATTATAAGTTATTGATTATCTTGAATTTTTATTATTTCAACAAAATTAACATTAAATAAAAATTCAAAATTAATATTAAATTTTTATTTTTAATATTTCAATGACATTAAAATATAAACTTAAAATTATTTATAATATAATTTTTTTTAATTTCTTAAAAATTTTATAAATATTCATAAATATCCGTGAGTATTCAAAAAATTCATAAATACTCACTTAATGATATTCACACAAATATAAAATAGATATGGAGTTAATTTTCATTCGACGAAAATAAATTTACTATTACCCGATGAGTCCATTTCCATCCCTAGTCTGGGGGCTATAATAAGGTAAGACCGTTTAGAAACCTCGGAGGAGACAAAAGTAAGTTCTGGCAATTGTTACTGTTCCTAAATGGAATTTACATGGTTAATGATTTCTACCGTACCTGTCACAAGAATAAATTGGTCAGATCAGATCTATCCTTTTTATCAACGTAAAATAGTAAAAAGAGGACGACACTTTCAGTCTTATCAAATAAGACACATTGACGTATCGGACAGACCACTATAATTTTTTTAAATAATAATAGTAATAATATAATCACATCTTAATATAACAAACACTCGTTTAACATTTTCAATCTTCACCAAATAGATCAGCGCATAAGTTGGAAAATCAATTGAACCCAACATGTCATAACTAACATGTCTTTGCATTATAAGTTGAAATTTTATAAATAAAAATATGATTAAAAATAGATTTTCATTAAAAAAATCAGTTAAATTATTTGATAAAAATTAATTATCAATAAGTTAATAAAATATTTTACATCAATAATATAATTTTAAAATGTCATATTCTCATTACTATCATTATAAAAAATAAAATATCTGTATTTCGAATCTCTATTTTATTTTTGTCTCAATGTGTTTACTAACATGGTGTGTCCATTAATCATTTTCCAAACTCACATTGCAAGCACTTGATATTATTTTTATAATCAACTTAATATGATAATAAGCATTAATATTATTTCTAAATTATTTTGATATTTTAATATAATAACTTTTTCAATAAATTAGTACTTTCTACAAATTTTCCTGAAACCACTTTTAGATTTAATTTGGATAAGGAAAATAGGTCTGCTCAGAATTTCTGTAAGAAAAACAAACAAGAGGAAAAGGGAAAATATAATAGTCAGGTATCTATGGATGAGTTTCATCAAATTCATTACTGATAAATCAAAATAGTTTGGATTAAGTTTAGTTGAATTTATCGAATTTTTCTATCAAATTCGAAGCCAATCAACTCAGTCAATAACAAATTGATTTGGATTGAATCATTGAAAGTTAAAAAATATTTTAAAATTTAAATTTTTTGACAATTTCAAATAATACTTTTATAACTTTCTAATTATTGCTCTTTTCTTTTTAAAGTCAATTTTTCCTTAAAATATTACAGTTTGCATTTTAATATTTGTTCATATTTCACAAATCAACTTGGTAGTAAAATTTCTTTTTTTTTTTTCCTGTGAAACTCATTATAAAGGTCTTTTCAAGCAATAAACACTAAGAAAAACCAACAAATTACATTATGTAATAAGAAATTTATGTGATAAACATTATTCAATGTAACGAGTAAATCAACTTATGTCACATATTATTTGATAATATTATCCGGTCAACAAAAAAATGTCATTATTATCTTACAATTTTTTTATAACTGTTATGCATAAGAGGTTACTACAATACACATGTTTTTATGGGTAAGATATTATTTGCTTTGCATTCAATCCTCACAGTTTTGTTTTTGGATATCGTTCAAAAAGGCCTCTAATCAATACAGAAAATTGTATATATATAAACTCATGTTTATCCTCTAGTTTGAATGATGTGAGACTTTACTTGTATTCCAACAATCCTCCTCTCAAACAAAAGATCATGGTTCTACCCCTTTGTTAGCAAAAGCCATCAGTTCACGAGTATATCCGATGATAACTTATAAAGCTCAGTCATGCTCAAGTACTTGCATCGTCATTCCATTATGAACATGACATGCATATTTGATGGTGGCCCATAGAGTTCAATCACACTCTAAGTACTTGCACTATCGTTTCATTATGAATGAGACACGTCTCTTAACCCTTCATGTTACCAGGAGGACACTCCTCCATATATAGGCTCACTGTTAAGAAGACTTTTGATATAAGAGATCCTATACTTAGATCCACTTGCCAACTCCATTGAGTCATCTGCTCAGACTATCGATTCTGATATCACTTATTGTACATCAAATTTACCACAGACATATACATATTTAACTAATTAGGATAACACAATCACCAAAAAAACCTAGTTACAACACGATAAGAAAATCTTCTTTACATTCCTTCTATTCGTGAAAAGCAACTATTTGTTGCTGTTATTTTCAAAGCTGCTCAAGCATACGATATCATTGGCAGAAAAGGTGAAACGTGATATTTTTTATAATATATATATATATATATATATATATATATATATATATAAATATGAACACTTTGATTGTCTTCAAGTTGTTGTTCAATTTTAACAAAATTTGATATACACATATAAAGTGATATGAACTTTTAATCTAACGATTGAATTTACAAAATTCACAATTAATATAAAATTATTAAGCGGTATAATACTTAGTAAAAGTTATACCGGTGTTATTATAACCCTCATATATATATATATATATATACATAAAAAATTAAAATATATTAATGGATTGAATTTTAACATTAAATTCTTGTATTCAACCTGAAAAACAACAAATTTGATCGAATTGAGTTGAGTCCTACTCTAATAATCTAAAATTTGAACCAAAGTAAGTAGATGGAGTAAATTTAGATTCATGCATAACACCATTAATATAAAAGGAAAAAAGATATATATTTGGAAACTCCAAAATATCTATGCTCGAAGAAAGATAAATAATTGATAAAAATAATTACGTGTATAATAAAAAAATATTCTTGTGTGAATGAATATAGTGTTTCATTTATTCATTTACGGGGTCTTCTAGTGTCCACAAATCATCACTTATCATAAAAACACAATAAAATCCATGCAAGTTGAGCTAAATAAATAGGGGAGATGGTGATTCCTGTGGAGGCAGAAATATTATGATTTTCGGGCCAACTTATGTTCGTTTTCTCCAACGTTTTCTCTTTCTCCTCCGATCCTTTTGCTTTGAAGCTCTACGTCTATGAACTTATCTCTCTCACACATTCTATTCATGGCGTCCAACAACAACACTCCTCCCGATCTAATGATCTCCTCCGGCCACTCCCTCATCCCGGCGATTCGCCGTCGCCGGAAACACCGAAAACCAGGCGTTGCCGTCGCCTTCCGCCTCAGAGAGACGCAAAAGAAACCCTCTGCAGGTAATAGCAGTTTCCCTCCGAATTTTTTTCCAGGTTCGCAGAAAAGTGAGGTTTCGGCGAGGAAGCTCGCAGCAGGGTGGTACTGGTGGCAGTGGCGGTTTATGGAGCTCTTACGCCACGGTGATGTTTTCCGACATGCACCGTCGTTCAAGTATCAGGTATAATGTCAATGTGCAACTCTTTTTCATTTTATTGTCACATCGTTTTCATTTTGGTACGTTAATTCTTTGGTTGGTTCGGTAAAAGCCTGAAATAGTAAAATGGCAAACCCCACGCGAGTATCTTTGGAAATTAACCATGAACGGGGCATTTAATTTCAGAAATTGTATGTATTACACAATAGAGTATAGACTATATATATAATAATTTACAGAAAGCAAGAAAAGATATAGCTAGCCTTGAGCAGTAAACTTTATATGCTTTTCTTATTAAAGAAATCAAAGACGTGTTATCCGTGACATTTCCAAAAATAAAAAATAAGTTGCGAGAGTAACACATGCCTAAATTTGTAATATTAATAATATATATATGCAACGACGACAGTGTAAAAAATTTAACACTACAAATGTATTAATATATATATTATCATTAAAATTCCAAACATGTTACATATGCTTTCTATAAAATTTCATATTTTAAAGATATTAGATAATTTTTCATTTTTAATTTAAACCAGCCCATTTTCAAGTTACAAACTCGGGTCACCTCAGATTAGTCTAGTTTCACGTTTATGTTTGTTAGGATAGACCAATCCAATCTCTTTTGATAGCTTTTGTAGGGTTTAGTTGGAGAGAAATTTTTAGTTTCTTAAAAATGAAATATTAATTTTTTATGTTTGATATCTATTTTTATTAGAAGAAAAAAATTTCCAAGAAATATTATTTCTCAAAAATTATTTTTATCTCACTTTCATACAAGAATATTTATATATGAGAGGGTTGAAAATTTAACCTTTTCAACTTAAAGAAAAAGTTTTAATTATATAAAAAGATTATAAATATCTCTTTTTAAAATAAAAATATATAATTTAATTTCTCCTTTCAAAATATATAGTTGAATTTCATCTTTCTCAAGT